AAGCGGGTCGCCAGGCAGAGGGGTGTAATTGGGTATTCTCGAATGCCCAAACCAGCATTGTTGAAATTACTAGGTTTAGAAGCCCCTCCTACGGTAAAACAATTAAAAGCTCAAGCAAAACAGCTTGGATTCACGGGTTATTCAAACCTGGGGAGAGCCGGGTTAATCGCATTGTTATCACATACCTCCGGGGCGCTGAACGGTAACCGTCAGCTCCCCACTGTAAAACAACTGAAAGTTCAGGCACGTGATTTGGGGTTAGGGGGATATTCCCGTATGAGGAAACCACAGCTTGTAGAACTATTACGGCAGAATAGAGCTATTGACCTACAGTTCGTGCGCACTGAGCTCGCTGTAGGTAATTATTTAAGAGGCTGGCGCATGTATGTTGATAGGAACATAGATATTATAGATATGAAGCCTCTGATAGTTGATAAAATAAACCAGGAACTAAACAGTCTAGGAAGTATCAAATTTCAAATCACAGTGAAAATGTCGCTCGATAAGCAGGCAGGGAATGGGGTCACTGAGTACGTTCAGCCTTACTTCCGAGGTAAACAGCAGGTCGTGACTCATATAGAGACCATAGACGCATCAATCGATACCAGTTTTCAGCAGATACGGGAATACCTAGAACGCTACACTCGTGTTGTTTGTGTACAGGAATGGGGTCTGGGTGGACTGTAGATAAAATCGATAATGTCTATCTAGACATAGCTAACTACGTGCCGTTCAGAGGCGGGTCATACCTAGACTTGCCTCCCTACTATAGGAAAAAACATGCCATGGTCAACGTCAGGAATAGAGGAGACGATTGCTTGAGGTTAGCTATCAGGTCAGCCTTGTTTCCAGCTGACACTAATTCGAACAGGCCTTCTAGTTATCCCCAAGACGATGGGCTCAACTGGGATGGTATAGATGAACCAACCCCCATATCCCAGATAACTAAAATAGAAAAACAGAATAATCTAGCTATAAATGTCTTTGGGCACGAAGGTAACACAACAATAGTGCACAGAGTAAGCTCAGTGTTGGGGAGGGGGGAACCCCCTCGTGTTATCAATATATTCATGATCCAGCGAGGTGACAAGTACCACTACACATGGATAAAACACTTTAGCAGGCTGTTGTATGACCAATCGGCAAACAGAGAAAAGACCCACTTCTGCGAACGGTGCCTACATGGCTTCACACGAGCTGATTTATTAGAATCCCACCGGGAGGATTGCCAAGGTGTGGGGCAGACGGCTATACGAGTCGACATGCCTAAAGAAGGTGACAATATCCTAAAATTCGGTAACCACAAGAACCAAATGCCTGTGCCTTATATCATATACGCCGACTTTGAAGCCTTGGTTAAACCTGTTGAGGCTGTTGGGGGTACCCCAACCACACTCAAAACACAGGAGCATGAAGCCTGTGGGTTTGGATACGTGGTCGTCCGATGTGATGGGGAAACGAAAGCTCCGGTAGTGTATAGGGGTCCCGACGCGGCTGAAAGGTTTCTTAAGTGTTTGCAGGAGGAAGAAAAAATTATTAGGAACGCACTGTATAGAGTCGCTCCCATGCGTATGACCCAAGCCGACCGGCTAGCTCACGCCTGTAGCACTAACTGCCACGTGTGTGACTCACCACTTAACGGTGATTCGGTGAGAGATCACTGCCACGTAACCGGTAAGTATAGAGGTGCCGCTCACAGCGCGTGTAACCTCAAGCTTAGAATCACCCCTAAGACAATAAACATCCCCGTGATCTTTCACAACTTGAGAGGGTACGACTCTCACTTAATCATGCAGGCCATCGCGAAAATCGATGGAAATATAACGTGTATCCCCAACAACATGGAGAGATACATCTCCTTCAGCTTAAACGGCCTTAGGTTCATAGATTCAGTACAATTCTTATTGTCGTCACTAGACAGTCTGGTCAAGGCCAACGATACCTTCCCTATTACCGATCGATACACAGACGCCGAGACCAGACCCCTGCTTATGAGGAAGGGTGTGTACCCCTATGAGTACATGGATAGTTGGGCCAAGTTCGCCGAGACCAGACTACCCCCCCATCAGAGAATTTTACAGCAATCTGACAGACTCGGAAATATCCCAAGACGATTACTCGCACGCGATTAACGTATGGGATAAACTGGGTTGTGAGAATCTGGGTGACTACCACGACCTGTACTTGAGGACAGATGTACTGCTGTTAGCCGACGTGTTTGAGACGTTTAGGCGGACATGTTTCAAGCAGTATAAACTCGACCCCGCATGGTATTACACCAGCCCAGGTCTGTCGTGGGATGCCTTGCTTAAAAAGACCGGAGTTAAGTTGGAATTACTCACAGATTATGACATGCACCTATTCATTGAGAAAGGCTTGCGAGGCGGGATCTCCATGGCAACCAAACGATACGCGAAAGCAAATAATCAATACGTGAAGGGCTACGACCCTAGCAAGCCAACCAATCATATTCTCTACCTCGACGCCAATAACCTGTACGTCTGGGCCATGAGCCAGTATCTACCCACAGGGGGGATTCGAATGGGTATCGTCCGAGGTCGATGTTATGAGCATCGCACCAGATTCGAACAAAGGTTATATCCTCGAGGTTGACTTGGAATACCCCAAGGCATTACACACATCACACAACAGCTACCCCCTAGCCCCTGAACGTATGAGGGTTAACCCAGACTGGATGTCTGAGAACCAACATAACTTGTTAGGTGGGCGGGTGGCAGACGTTGAAAAACTCGTGCCTAACTTAATGAATAAGACCAAGTACATCGTTCACTATCGCAACCTACAGCTGTACCTGTCGTTGGGTATGAGGCTGACCAAAATACACAGGGTGCTCGTGTTCAACCAGAGCCCCTGGATGGAGCCTTACATCAGAATGAACACAGACCTCCGAAAGCTTGCAACCAGTGACTTTGAGAAAAACCTCTACAAGCTCATGAACAACTCGGTGTTCGGTAAGACTATGGAGAACCTGAGGAAACGCGTGACCGTGAAGCTGGTTCGGTCGAATGAGGAAGACAAGCTCAGGAGACTGATAGCCAGTCCGGCATTCAACCGGAGCAAGATATTCACCGATGACCTAGTTGCCCTACACATGAAGAAAAGCCACATCAAATTCAACCGGCCTGTTTACGTGGGGATGAGCATCCTCGATTTATCCAAACACCTGATGTACGACTTTTACTACAACAAGCTTAAGAAACAGTACGACGCCAGGTGTGAAGTGCTGTACACTGACACGGATTCCCTGCTGATGGAGATTCGAACCGAGGACGTGTACGAGGACATGAAAAAACACCTCGATTTGTATGACACCAGCGACTACCCCAAGGCCCATGCCATACACAGTACGGTAAATAAAAAGGCCCTAGGTAAGATGAAGGACGAGTGTGCTGGCACGCCCATAGCCGAGTACATAGGTTTGAGGCCTAAGATGTATTCCATACTGAAGGCCGACAATGGTGAGATCCGGAAGGCTAAGGGTGTTAAGAAGTACGTGGTTAAACAACACATCAAACACGCCAGATTCAAGGAAGCCCTGTTCAAGACCCGTACATTTAGGCATAAAATGAACACACTTAGACGTGATGGCCATAGGATATACGGACTGACAATAAACAAGACGTCCCTGTCGCCTATGGACACTAAACGTTGGATAGCTATTGATGGGATCAACACGTACGCGTACGGGCATGAGAAAATTGAACCAAGAACGGAACCAGAAAAAGTTTGAGGCTATTTACTACAGCCCGCGTGGGTACTGGAAAGGAGCTAGCGCTGTAGATAAGCTGGCTAAAATGGCGCGAGTACCCCCGGAGGAGGCCAAAGCGTGGCTTGAAAAACAAGCCCTGTGGCAGATCTATTTACCGGCACCACACTACGTGCCTAGAAGGAGGTTCGGTATTAACATACCCAATAGCGTTCACCAGGCAGACCTTAACCATAGTGGACGTGGCCAGTCGCTACAAGGAAGCCGAACCCTTGACTGCGAAAGATTCGGCCCAGGTAGCCAGAGGATTCGAACGCATATACAAACGCAGTCCGCTGACATGGCCAACAGAGCTGCAAGTTGACCCCGGGCGGGAGTTCATGGGTGACGTGTCACAACTGCTAGCCAAACACGATACAAAGGTCAGGCGTGGCACGGCTGGAGCCCATCGCAGCCAAGCCATAGTTGAGAGATTTAATAGGACTTTGGCTGAGCGCTTATTCGGCCATCAGTATGCGAGGGAGATGGCAACCCCAGGAAAACGATCGACTGAATGGGTATCACGGCTCCCTAAGGTGGTGTCGGCAATCAACCATGAAACCACCCGACTCACTGATAAGAAACCGGCAGACGCTATCAAACTAAAATCAATAGTTGCAGAGTCGGCTGCTCCACTGCGTGGAAAAGTCCCAGTTGACACATGTCATCGGTTCCAATTGCGCAGATCGATGTTCGTGCTGTTGATCACTGGATTGTTTGGTCCAGGCTCGGTTATTTACAGACGGCCGCCATATAGCTTGAATATTGCTGAGTGCGGCGTAAAACTAAACTCACCCACTCACTAAAGTTGAAGAAAGTTGACAAAACGCCTCGTACAATATTTTCTCGTACAATTCTGTAATGGTACTGAGTGACATCAAGAATAGATTTTCCAATGCACCGAGTACAATTGTTTTTCAAAACTACATCCCTACACAACGGTGTTCAAGTGGTCTCAATCATAACACGGGCGGCGGGGTAGCCTAGCGGTTAAAGCGTTTGCTCATCACGCCGAAGACCCGGGTTCGACTCCCCACATGGTTACAATGTGTGAAGTCATTTCTGGTGTCCCCAGCCGTGATATTGCAGGAATATTGCTAAAAGCGGCGTAAAACCATACTGAATCATTCACTCACTCACTAATCGTATCACCGTTCTCAGCCACAGACTACAACAAATAGTGACAGTGAAGACCAGGTGAAGAACGGGGATGTCATGGCCTGGCAACACTTACTGTGAACAACATGGAGGGCAGGGGAGTTAACTGCTTGACTTGGATGTAGGACAATATCTCAGGCAGGTTGTTGTCCCTGGCAGAGGCATACACAACTCTGAAAATATAGACAAGTGGAATTGTGGTCAGTTATCATTAATACATATACGCCGGAGCCGTAATGCATGACGGTCAAGAAGATCTTGACTTTATCGTAATCCTAAAGGTATGGAGTAAATATAAATATAGATCGACACTATTAAGTTGGAATATTGCTGAGTGTGACGTTAAGGAACCAAGAACAAAACATTTTGCGAACACGTGACACAACGTTTGTGAAAAAGTCGAAAATGCAGAATTCCATAGTGCTAAAACGAACCACACTCAGCATTTAATGAAATAAATTGTATACACGTTATTGTTGTTTACAAAATGCTGCTTACCAGTCAGGGGTCAGATGTCAACCATTGTCTTCACGTCATAGGGGCGGTGGGGGTAGTCTATTAGTTAAAGCGTTCGCTCGTCACGCCGATCACCCGAGTTCGATTCCCCACATGGGTACAATGTGTGAGGCCCATTTTTGGTGTCCCCCGCCGTGATATTGCTGGAATATTGCTAAAAGCGGAGTAAAACCAAACTCACTCACTCACTCGTGACGTCATAGCATTCCATAATGACGCCATGCCTGTGATACTTCACATAGAAAGATAGTCCTACGCAAACTATCTCTCCGAGGGTATTTGGTAAGAGATACTGTCCTTTTCCCCCACCGGGCAGTCACTGACGGGGTATAACACCGACTTGAACAAGAGTGATGGCATATCGCAGTTTGTCAGTTTCAATGAACCATTCATGCTTTGGTGGCAGCACTAACCTTCCTCCACTGAAGGCTGTTCCATTGGCTGCCCCAAACGTTGACACCATGACAGACAGAGGCATGATGATGGCGGCAGCTCCGAGAACACGGTCTCCCCATGTCTACAACATCGAGGACAACAGTATAAACTGAAGCAGGAAATAACACAAGTAGTTATGGCAGCCATCTTCCAACAACAGCTACACTGGTAACCGGCGCCTCTGGCAGTCATTGTAAGCTCCTATCGAGTATTTACCATATTGACTTGGCATTAGGCAGATCCTGGTAATCTTGGCATTTTGATGTGTGCCTTTAACAGGTATACCACTAACTATCTCAGCCGTTTATGTTATATACACATGTATACTATTGGTGAATAACATGCACGTGAGATTCGTCAATGTCATGAGTTTCATGACATCCCACACACAACACTGAAAAGGATGACTGGTGTTTGGGCAACACGTACACAATCAAAACACATTTAAACATATTGACGTTGTTTGTTTTGTTTTTAAAATGATCCTATCGCACCCCTGTGTACTCTCTTTATACGTCAGTTTATAATTTGTAAACATCATGTTATATGTGACTAATTTCATACTATTTGCTCGTGAACAGCTCTTGACAATGTAAGAAAAGCCCTCATATTGATAAATCTATTTCTGTTATAGGTAGAAGAGACAAAATTCTTTCCACATTCACAGGAAATCTCTGCCCAAAGCAGAGTCGATTGTACAAGTGTGACTATATCATTAACAGATATTCGTATTATGTATATACAGTGGAAACCTGATAAGTAAAATTTCAAGGGACTCGCCAAAATTGTTTACTTATCAGGTATTTTACTTATCCAAACTTATAAAAACCTGCAAATGACAACCATATGCATGTATATGTATGCATATGTAACAATGAACAACTTATCAGGGCTGGCAGTGTATTGTCAACTGCTTGACGCCGGCGAGCTGTAAGCAGGATGTTTGTTTGACTGGAGACTGACACAACTGCCTCTCATGTCGGATTATGTGGTGATCGGTAATTTAGTTATCCAGTCTCTTTTGTTAAGTAAGTTACTTCCAGTGACCGTGAGAGACGTTTAGTTAAGCGGTATCTTTTGTTAAGTAAGTTACTTCCAGGGACCGTGAGAGACGTTTAGTTAAGCGGTATTGTTTACTTATCCGAGTTGAATACATTTGTCGGGACCAAAGAAAAGTGTTTACTTATCAGGTCTGTTTAGTTAAGCGGTCTTTACTTAGGCGGTTTCCACTGTATCATATGCAGTATTACAGCTGTATGATGTTGTTTGTAAACAAATCAGGTCTGAACCAGACAATCCAGTGATTGTCACCATGCGGTACGATGACAGAGCATGTGTTTATGAATCACTATGATACCAGGTGTTCGCGAAAAGGTGAGCGTATTCTGCCCCACCAACTTTTCGTATGAAAGAGAATAAAATCCTGTACTGTTCTGTTCTGAGCTTATACTGGACAAGCTGACCACTCACCACAGTCACACCACTGACAGCTGGCCTTGGATTGGATAGGTGTATACTGGACAAGCTGATCCACTCACCAAAATCACACCACTGACAGCTAGCCTTGGATTGGATAGGTGTATACTGGACAAGCTGACCACTCACCACAGTCACACCACTGACAGCTAGCCTTGGATTGGATAGGTGTATACTGGACAAGCTGACCACTCACCAAAATCACACCACTGACAGCTGTATACTGGACAAGCTGACCACTCACCAAAATCACACCACTGACAGCTAGCCTTGGATTGGATAGGTGTATAGTGGACATGCAGACCGCTCACCACAGGCACATCACTGATAAGTGTATACTGGACAAGCTGACCACTCACCACAGCCACTGCATTGGAGTTTAGCAGCTCCTGTGTAGTCATCACGGTGAGGTAGGAGATGTTGGTCAAGACGTAGAGGATGGTGACGAGAAGGACCCCGAGGATATTGGCACGTGGCAGATTTCTGTAAGCAGATAACGTTGTTTTTCTTAGAATAATACCATAGTCACTTTGATGTTACGATTTGTAGCAAATATTGTTTTTTCATCGAAATTTCTCGTTTTACTTCGATTATTTTTGTTACTTCAAGAGTTTTTTCGTTGTTTCGATTAATTCTCGTTGCTTCGAGTATTTCCTTGTTGCTACATGTTTCTTTAAGAGATTTCGAGTGTTTGAATGTAACTGTGAAGTATTGACAAAATATTGGAAGTAAAGAGAAATGAACCGAAATGTCAAGTTTTTGAAAGAAACTTAAAGTAACGAGAATTACTCGAAGCAACGAAAAATTATCGAAATTTCAGGAAAATCTTAAAATTTCAGGAAAATGTTAAACTAAGAAAAATTCTCGAAGCAGCGAGAAAATAATCAAAGGTACAAAAAACCCAAAACAATTGAAATAACTTGCATATACTCCTAAACACTCACAAAATAATCAAAGCAACAAGAAATTTCGCTGAAAAATATTTTATGCAACAAACGTGGCCGCAATAGGCTTTAGTATGACCTGACTTGAGAAATATAACTGGGATGAAATACACGAATGTTTAAGATATAACTACTTTGGAAATCACAGAGTACAAAGTGGGCAATCTTACTCGTAACTTTTTGGATCAACGCACCAGTATCATCAATAACGAAATCAATATATGCATGCATTGTCACTTATAGATTCATATGGTAATTTACTCACTTGGCTGGATCTTCAAGTTCTTCTGTAACGTAATTGAGATTGTTCCTGTGAAAGAAAATCTGTTTAGTTCACAGTGTACGGGATATACTGACGAGCGTACTTTCTGAATAGCGAGACGCCCATATGAGACATAAAACATAAGAATAACTATTGTTATCAGTTTGTTTGTTGTTTTATGCTGCACCCTGCTATATTCCAGCTATATAATCAAATCTAGACCAGACAATCCAGTTATCAACATCATGAGCATCGATCTACGAAACTGGGATACAATGACATGTGTCAGCCAAGTCAGCGAGCCTGACCACCCAATCTCGTTAGACGACAAGCATGGGTTGCTGAAGACTAATTCTAACCCGGACCTTCACGGGCCACTGTTGTTATCAGTCAACTTACCAGCCGTCAAAGGCCCACAATGCGCCGTAAAATGCCAGCGCTATCGTTGATGGTGAGGTTGTCGAACCCTCAAACCCTTCCTCCAGGACGGCAGTGTTGCCTGGAGACAATATTAAATGTTTGCTAAATAATGATTATATAATAAAAGCCAAGAATACAAGTCCACTTCAGGATGTCAAAATCGTTTTCTGACTCGGTAGCTGGTGCCATACCAGCAACAGTAAATGCGGTATTTAATCACGTGTCCATTTCCAACATGGCGGTGTGACTACACGTTGCGACCGTCAGTCCCAGCTTTAATGGCGTTGGTATACGGCCATGTTATCTAGACTCACCCTTTTCTATGACGTCAAGAATGATACTTAATTAATCTATTAATAACTCTCAAAATTTCTCACTCGGAAACATATTCGTAACTGTACTTGGCACTTTTTGTGTGCAGGCTATTCGTTGTTTTTAATGCGTACCTGAGATAAATGAATTCATATAATTACATACATCGATGACCATAATTCATTACGTCAGAGACGGTGAATCTTGGTGCCGTCAGAGACCAATAGCTTGACTAAACCTACATATCTTTGCTTTATATGTACGTCATGATTTAATTCACATAGGTATGTTTCACATGTTTAATTACTCAACCTTTCTTCGACGTACCTTCAGCCATTTTGACGATACCGCCGACGATGATGATGCCGAGAGCGACGAGTTTGGCGGCTGTGAAGATGACCTGCACCCTGGCGGCCAACTTGGTGCTCCAGCTGTTTACTATACCCACCGTAACTGAAGAAGAAACATCATTATCACAGTTATAACACCCTAGTCTACTCACTAGGGTACTGTCGTACTGTCAATTGCAAAAAAGTAGTTCCGGCTGAGATGTAAGACTACAACAAGTAGCAGGCCCATGACCAATCAAATCGCTTAGATGTGTGTCTACCTCAGAGTGTTTGTTTGTGCTGACATCGAGGGCAGGAGATAGTGGCAGATTTCACGAGGATTATACCATTTTCACCCACCCCCGACCCCCAATTTATTACAATGAACTGGCCCTGATTGATTGCTTAAACATGAAGATTGGACAGTCGATGCACACAGTGTTGTTGTCTGTCATGTCAGTACTCATTCTTACATGACGTCATATAAGTATTTTCTTCTTCAAGTGAGTGGGTGAGTGAAGATGGTTTTTGCTTCACACATTGTACCCTTGTGGGGAATCGAACCCCAGTCTTCAGCGTGAAGAGCGAACGCTTTAACCAATGGGCTACCTCACCATCCCTTTAAATATTCCTGAATGCTCAATTACTATATATACTCATGCCAATAATGGTTGTCACCACCTTCAATATTTTTAATTGGAGAGGGTGTGTGGGTGTGTGTGTGTGTGTGGGGGGTGGGGGGGGGGGGGTGACAACCATTATTGGCATGAGTATATAAACGACATAAATATATAATAATATATGTTAATACAAATATGGTTAAAGCGTGAAGAAAAAGGACATTGTTGTGACTTACTGAGTATCTAGAGCTAGACGTCTTATTGACATTATCACAAAACATGTCTAGTTATGAAAAGAGATCATTTGTGCCTGCCATTGATGGATAGATTGTGAACATGTGATTCAGGTCATAATGAAAATCCTGTCTAACATTGATAGATGGATACTGTTTACGAAATTAGAAGGCCCTGTTGAACATACAGTCTAGCATTGAGGTATAGATATTGTGAACGTATTATTTAGAAGTGAATATACTGAAAATGCACAATAGATCCACTTGGGCAGTTAAGGCACAAATTATATAACTACTTGGTTGTTAGCTCAATGTCACGCATTTCGACAATTATTTGGCCTATATTACATATATTGGGGCATTAATAAATAAAAAACTTTTGATGCCTTACGACTTGCCTGAAATCGATAATTAAAACTTCGAGGCGAACAGCTACCAAACAGAGAACACTTGCTATACATGGAATATAAACAATTGCTCCGTACATCGAAAACTGTCGCACGCGCTGTTGTCGTTTTTTGTTCGACCGGTAGGTGGGCCGAGAGTCGATTTAATGCAACGTTGCATTAATTCATTCAAACATCTTAATTAAATATTGTAATCTAAATACGCAATTTATTTTTAAATAAATTATATGGTAGCTTCCCGTGGGTTAGATAGTCAGTATTATTGCATTATATATTTTTAGAGAGTGTGGTGCGTTATAGTGCCTTTAAAATATACATTTTATTCTTTTTTCAGTGAAAGGAATGTCATGTAAAAAGTCAACCTGTGATAAGTGCGCCTTTTGGACCACAGGATCTGCATGCTTTAAGATTGAATGTGAACATATTTTCAATATTTGTTATGCATTTAATTTGTTTGAATTGCATGAATTTTCTATACAATTGTCAGTGAGACCATGTGTTCTCTCAGACTAAACTAAGTTATTCAGAATGCTATCTTAACTTATACACATTTAAAAAAACCCCCAAAACCCACCCAAATACTGGTTCGGATGCAATACCCATTCACCAGTTCTACTTTTATGTTTCATTGTTGTTTTTGCCTTACATACAGTTACCTCCCTTGCTGTGCTCATTTACACCTTAAAGGAACACCATTGAATAAGCGCTGTCTTCTGTTTAGAGCGTCCCCTTCATTACAGAGACAAATTTAGCAACACATTTAATGAGAAAAGAAAAGTATAATACTTTATGGATAACAAGTTCTTTATTTATTATGGTGCGACGTTTCGGTATAGCTTCTTATACCCTTGTCAAGGAAGAGTATACTACTTTATGGATAACAAATTATTTATGAGGTTTATTGTTTTCGTAACATATAACTCCCTGCCGTAGGATATTTTAAATGCATAACTTTCCTGTGCAGCTACCCTGAAACCCTTATTTGTCCACAGACTATTTGGAGAACTTTTACGATAGATTCAATCCCCTATACCGTCACCAGGAATGAACTCACTAAGTGCAATGGCCGCCACGATCTTGTTCGGTGCAACAGGTGAACCACACATGGTGAAGAAACTTTCCACGTACTGGGCGAACGTCAACGTAATGATCGACAGCGACGACGTCCTGATGACTATGACGGACGTCCATGAGTAAAGGAAGGCGGGGATGTTGCCGAGGGCGGCGCGGATGTAGGCGTACTCCCCTCCCGACAGACGGATCAGCGTCCCCAGCTCGGAGTAACACAGTGCTCCTGGAACAGAGTGACTGAGTGACATATTGGTTAAGGACTGACCCGTGAAGGTCCATGTTAGAATATTGATCTTCAGTAACCCATGCTTGTCGTAAGAGGCGACTAACAGGATCGTATGGTCGGGATCGCTGACTTGGTTGACACATGTCATCGTATCCCAATTGCGTAGGTCGATGCTCATGATGTTGATCACTGGATTGTCTGGTCCAGACTCGATTATTTACCGACCGCCGCCATATAGCTGGTAAAACAACAAACCAAAACCAAAACTAAATGCGTAAATCGAGACTTGGGACATCAGCAACTGGACTTTCAGGTCTAGACTCGATGATCTAGCAATCGGCATCATATAGCTTGGGTATTGCTGAGTACGGCGTTAAACAAACAAACAAACAAATGAACGCTTAAGGGCTGTGTTTACGATGAACTTTCAGTCATATTTAACGTCTTATCCTGCAACGTGAAGTTTAGTCAACCTGTCTCTCATATGAAATATGTGTCACCCAGCAGTAAGTGGGTACCAGGTAGGATGAGATTGCAATGTGCCAGGCGCCTGAAAGGCAGCTTGGAATTATCACGCAGCTTGGAAGTTTGCAAACGACATCAACCTGTGACATTCCGGCCTTCCTTCTCACATCTACTGACATGACATCACTTATATACACAACTCCCTCACTCATTCACCTGACTGGGGGTACTGTCATGTGCACCTACCCAGGAGCGCGATGAGTCCCGATGCTGTCCACACCACCAGACTGAGTCCCACGGATCCCGTGTCCCTCAGAACACCCTTGGGGGACACGAAAATACCCGACCCTGAAAAAGTCAACCTGAATATGTTGTAACCTCATGTCATGTACACTGTGTGATGGGCACATTGATTCATCGCCATACATATACATCTATGTAGGTAATATAGTCTCATAATCATAATCTCTGATTTAGAAAAATATAAACTGAATTTAAAAACATTACCAACGGTTTACATATGTACGATAAAAATAAACAGTATACACTGTGGAACTCGGCCATACCGAATATGGTTAAGGTGTTTAACAATGTCATGGACAATTATATTTGAATATACTTTACTTTTATACCGTTCCAAGTTGTAACGCTCACTCACTCACTCGAAGGGCCAAACTCACTCACTCACTCTTGTCAGTATAGTACTCGTTCCTTGGGTTCCCCAAAATGTCTCTGACGTCACTCTTGGCGTCCATCACACATTGGACAGATACGCCATGATGTGACAAAGGTCCAGTATAAAGTGGTGTTAAACCCAGGTCAGCTCTGTCCAGCTCTGCCCAACCTTACCTATGATAGTTCCCACGATGATGGAGATCCCACTGAACAGACCCACATTTCGCTGCATCTGCACCTTCTGACCGACCTCCACCTTGGCAGAACTTGTGTCGCTGTCAGTGGTGCCATATTGGGGCTTGACCTGACGCTGTCGAAGTGTGTCCAGATCTCCGTTCTCACCATCTGTAAAATTGGTTCTCAATTCACTTGTAATAGTTACATGTATTGCCATGGTGTGGAACATCCTTCATAGATTTTGTTGATAATGCGAGGGTTTTATGAATGATACAACGCAACAGATATAGAAGAAATGATAATTTGTATTTAATGATTGGGATTTAAATTTAATGGATTATATACATATAGAGGTCATCAGGTGTGTGTGTGTTTTGGGATGAGTGAGTGAGTGAGTTTACTTTTACGCCGTTTTTAGCAATATTCCAGCAACATCACAGCGGGGTATACTGAGTCTTCGGCGTGACGGACGAACGCTTTAACCACTAGGCTACCCCACCACCATTGTTTTGGGATGAAAGATTGCCTTTGAGAGCATATATATTGTGATATCGTTCAGACAATTTACGATTGTTTGTTAGCTCGCAGATTATCGAACATTGCCCAAATAGTAACACATTTGTGTAATAATCATTCAATCATTTAAATTGGTGACCTTTTGTTGCAAAAAATGAAAACTTGGACAATATCTAACATTGTCTGCCACTGAGTAAAGGATTATATCCCTAATCTACAAAACAAATCAGAACCAGACAGAAAGGTAAGTCAAAAAACAAACCCCACAGTTACGGGTAACAATGTACTATACACATGGACAAAAGTATCGCAACACCAATAATTTTATATTAACAGCGAAAAAGAATTAGGTTCCTTTGTAGTGTTATTTTGACCCATCGGGAGCACCATACATTGATTTTAGATATGTACATGCTGCCGCCAACGACGAGCATCACGTGCAATACGTGTACCCGTCATAAAGCAAATATCCAGGTTCAGTATACTGATCTTACAGATCGATAACTCGAAAAAATCAATTGATTTCGTTGTTGATAAGCACATATGGGGCCCCTCACCTGACAACAACTCAAAGATGGCAAGTTATTGGTATGCGGAATGCTGGCATGTCACTGAGGGCTGTTGCAAGAGATGTTTTTTGTCATCCATCGACTGTCAGTCAGCTGGCCAGAAGACATTGACAAACTAATGGCGTTATGGACCATCATCTTTAATGGCGTCAGCGTTCAGGTCCACCACGAAAACTACAAGGGAGGATATTGCCCTTTCCAGAATCAAGAGACTTCACCCGTTCATGTCAAGTGACGTGTTCAAAACAGAGTCCAGATATCAATCCCATGGGGCATGTTTGGGTCATTATTGCTCGTTGAGGGATCCTCTAGTACAAGATCTTGTAACAAGCCCCTCATCAAGAATGGAAATCTCAACGTCAAATTCAACGTCTGATGCAGACAGTGAGGAGGGGGTTCAGGGACGTTATTGCAGTTGGCGGAGGTTACACCTGATATTGACATTGTGCTTGGTTATTGATACTCATGTGATTTCTTGAGGATACCAGAATATTGAAAATGAACTCACTTGTTCATGCAGTTATTGTCACCAGCACTACAAAATGAGTAGTGTTTTCCATGCATGTTTTTCTGAATACATTACAGATTTTGTAATTCTTTTTGCGTTTAGACTTACCATTTAATTATTCCATGAAGGTGAATTCATCCAGATAGTAAGGTAAATTGTGGTTTGGATATGCTCCTTTGCTATGGTCAATAGTGACATATTGATACCATGAAATATATGGGTGTTGCGAAACTTTTTTCCATATGTATATATGACTTACCGGTTATAGCCATAGATCTCGAGAAATCTGGTTCGTATGTAACTCGGCGCGACTTCGACTTGAGTTGTTACAACAAATTAATTCTGAGAAAAATTGTCACATGAATTATTCTCACTTAATTAGTAGCTTAGTAGCGGTGGTCAGGGGGGTAGAAAACAGCATATTCACTCTCCTGCCAGGCAGATTCTACGTGGCAGGGGTAGAGATGGGGTATCATATTTCAGTTACACTGTCAAGACGGCATGGCATTAGTCACGTGGTCAATTCTTGTCTTTATCACAGTCCTTGTAAGGGGGCAGTGGTGTAGCCTTGTGGTTAAAGTTACGATCGTCATGCCAAAGACCCGTGTTTGATTCCACACATGGGTACAATAGGTAAAAATCACTGTATGTTATCTTTCATCGTTATTACTTTTGTAATTAGGTATTTGATTGGGATTTTGCAAATTGTATTTAACAGTCGTGAAAAGGGAGCACAGAATTATCAGAAAAGAGACTTTAATAAGTTTGAATCCAGCATACTAAATGATAACTAGTGAGTGAGTGAGTTTAGTTTTACGCCGCTTTTAGCAATATTCCAGCAATATCACGATGGGGGACGCCCATGTGAGGAATAGAACCGGGGTCTTCGGCGTGACGAGTGAACACTTTAACAGCTAGACTACCCCACCGCCCCTAAATGATAACTAAATTGTACAGAATCCCATATTCCATCCACTAGTCTTTCGAAAGACTCAATTTTTCTAACCGGTTAATATAGTCTACAGACACGTTAGTTACTAAATGTGTACACTTAACTATTTCTGTCAGCGCATACCAGCTGTACATACAATCTAGTTGTATCGTGTAAATGCCTTTTATGTAGGTAAATTGTACAGGACGAATGAACCTTGTCGAATGAATTAAATATTTATGTTAGACAGAGCATAAACCAAGAAGAAACTTAACTGGACTCAACCCATCCCTCTCATGACTCGTTGCTATCAATTTGGTGACTTCATCCACTTCAGCTGACTTCATCTTGAGATGTTTTCAATAACGGGACACGCTTCACGACTGTAAATTAGCGTATTACAGACCTAGCACGTGTTAAGGTGATGTACATCTAGACTATACGTCCATCAAAGCATAGGCATAGCGTCAGATAACACATTCAAGTCAACAGCAAGCATGACTATGTAGATATGGGAATTTGACCCACTCGCTACAACATGTCCTATTATTTGCAATTATCTACGCTGGTATCGGGTCACACTAGGGTCTGGGAATCTGTTGAAAAGTGAAAGGTACAATGTGGGGTGTAAATCCTAAATGGCACTGTTTGCAGGTCTTCGGGTAACATTGTGCCGGTTTTCCAATGTATACCGAACCAAAAAATGTTAAGTCTAATGAATATTTTGCACGAGCCCTTTTCTATATGTTCATGAAATTGTGTTATTAATTATGTTCAACTGAAGACTTCTCCCACAAGATATTCACAAACCGTAACTGTGATGTGCATTAGGTTATTACGGGTTATCAGTGTTGAAATAACGCATCTCAGAACATCAAGATTTTGAGAAAAATATTGATAATGTATTTGCTTTTCTTGGTGTGAGTGAACGGATATTGTGTGTGTGTGTGTGTGTGAGAGAGAGAGAGAGAGAGAGAGAGAGAGAGAGAGAGGGAGAGATGAAGGTAGGGAGAGAGAGAGACAGAGAGAGAGAGAGGGAGAGATGAGAGAGAGAGAGAGAGAGAGAGAGAGAGAGAGAGATGAAGGTAGGGAGAGAGAGAGAGAGAGAGAGAGAGAGGGAGAGATGAAGGTAGGGAGAGAGAGAGAGAGAGAGAGAGAGAGAGAGAGAGAGAGAGAGAGAGAGAGAGAGAGAGAGAGAGAGAGAGAGAGAGAGAGAGAGATTGTTATAGAGAATGAACTCTATTCTCCTCATACACTAACTATTGCACTGCTTTCTATCGCCGATGTGAATTCCGTCAAGTCACGTCGTCTGTGGTAGCACAAGTACACTCAAGAGTTGCTGGTTTAATTTAGATCCAACCACGAGTCTCTCATCCAACAGGTGCGTGACTGTCACACGCTGCGACATTACCGGGCAATAACACTGGGCCGATATTACCACAGCCATAAAGCCTGTGTCAATACTACACAGTGTCTGTCACGCGAATGTCACGCCCTAACCAGATAGCACTCAGATATATTTACCTGCCGAAATATAAATCACCTGTAGGAATGGTTGAGCATATTGGTATGAGAACACTTTGAAATGATATAGACACGACTCATAAATATAATTATGTTAATTAACCAGCTGATCAAATAAAAATGCTTGTCCTTGTTTGTGTTTTGTGTTTAACTTAAACAAAACATGCCTGCAGTTATCACACAGCTTTGCAATAGGTACGCGCATGCTCGGAAGACAGGCGGGAATCTACAGCAACATGGACCGAGTGTTATATCTTGCTTTGACAATGTAGCCACGCAGAACGTTGACCGAAATCCCAGTGTTAACTTGGTGCAAAGCTTTTCGTTAGTGGACCGTGGGCCGTGTTGTCTTTAATGTTATCATTCAAGTTATGTGTGTTAGGGTCATGGGTTAGGTAAAGGTTAAGGTCATGGTTACGGTAAAGGTTAAGGTCAAGGCTAAGGTCAAGGCTAAGGTGATGGTTAAGGTCATGGCAATTAGTGTTGGGAATTGGTTGAAATCTCACAATTGATGATTGCTTCATTACCAACGAACAATCATCGAAAAAAATTGGTTAGCGTCATTTTTCAGATTTTCCTATCCAGGTTGTTATTGCAGATATGTATAACATGATGCAACTTGCTACTTTAAAGTGATGACTTATATATCAAGAACATAAACTTTCTGGAGTCTTCAAGAAATATTCAGTCATGGCTTTTCAGTTAGTGAAGTGAGTTTTCTAAGAATTAAACACGTTTTCAGGCACTGACAACTTCAACGATATGTTCCATTGTCAAGTATTTCAAAGACTAAAAAAAGTAGTTCAAAAATCGTTTATGTTCGATTATGAGAAAATGTGATCGATTGCTTGGTCGTTTGGTCACTGCGACCAATCTTCGATTATTTCAATTAATCGGAACACCACCAATGGCAATGGTTAAGGTTAAGGTCAGGGCTAAGGTTAAGGCTAAGGTAATCGTTAAGGTCATGGCAATGGTTAAGGTTAAGGTCACTGTATATGTTACGGTTTTGGGTTGGGCAAAAGATTGAAACTCCATGAACGACTTGCCGAAATTGTTTAATGGATGAAATATAGCAATGAGTTTGTATGAGAAACATTAAAACTATGGACACATCTAA